CGCCTCCAGATCAAAGAAGTGCCCCCCCCCCCTTTAGAATAAAATTTCTGCTTACGCCCATCTCTACGAGTGTATTTAGGGTGAAAACGTGTTGTTGGAATGCAGCACATTCATATTTGGTTTTATGTTGCTTTTTTAATGTGAATCTCAAAATACTGAGGCCTGCATCACACTGAGTAGTCGTACGAAAATGCTGTGGTCTACCAACCAATTTCACTTAAAACAGGAGTATACTGACAACAGCGCAACAAGGAACAAGGGACAAGGAATACGAAGAAACACTCTGCAGACGAGTACAAGTACCACCGGTATAATGGACCACCCATACCTGCCCAGAGATTAACTCTCTCAAAACAAGAGGTTGCGTTTATTGGAATAAATCGTGTGATTGGTACAAATGACTAATTATTAGCTATGTATATACCGTGAGGTCTGGCTTGATGAGTGAGATGCCCATCACGGCATGCTTTGTGCAAGGCTGTGGCGTGGTGCTGCTGAGCTCAGCGTGGCGTGTTTCGTTTGCGGTTCCGGTGGCCACATTTTATTTGAGGATAAGACAGGAAGAAGATGTGACACAAAATCACTCTTGACGTTAGATATATTTAGGCGCGCAATATGTAACACCGGGTGATCAAATTTAGTCCAGAGTCCACCGCTACGACGTTTCTTGCGATTATGACTTTGTTTTGGCGCTTTGTGATTCATATTGAATTATTCCGTTTGGTGCAAAGGACGTGTATGTTGTGCTCGGGACGTACAACCTTGAGGGAATATCGGAACAAAGGGGCTCGGCTTTTTGATAGCCCCTAGAGCTTGAAGCCATCAGATAATGAAGCTAATACAAGTACGCGAAAAATGGTTCGTTACTTTAAACGGAATTAGAAAAAAAGTCATTACGAGGAGGGGATGTGAAATTGGGGGAAAACGCGATTCCTTCGAGCCCAAGCCAGATCAGCACCTTCTGCACCGTGCTTTCGCATTTCGCACGTTGCCCCTTGGCTAACCACCAAAATACCGTATTTACCCACTTCCAACGTGCCCTATTCTTACGGGAAAGATTGACCTCAAAACCACCTGCGCGTTAGATTAGGTTACAGACATTTAAACCGCCTTATAGCTCTCTCTCTCTCTCTCTCTCTCTCTCTCTCTCTCTCTATATATATATATATATATATATATATATATATATGGTCATGTGTGTCAGGTGCGCGTTAGAAATAGGGGTGCGCTGAAATGGGGTAATACGGTACATTCATATCCCGTCGTTTTATGTTATGTTTTTATTTTCCGTAGTATACGTGTTATTCTTAGCCAGCGCCACTTATTGTCGTCACTGGCCTACAAATTTTCTTCCTGCTGAGTAACATTACAAAATGACTCGCTTCACGCGACGCCTATATAGCGTCTCCTGCGCTAAAACCCTTTTGTTTCTTTTCGTTGCGACCATTCGAAGAGCACAAGTGTCCGTCTGCAGGTGGCATGCTCACGGCATTGCGCGTGACCGTTGTCATCGATTGCGCCGCGGTGAGCCTTTGGATCATGCACGTCCTATGTCACTGAACTGAGTTTTCCCGCGCGTATAGGTGAAGCGCTATGTGAGTGAAGTTACATTGGCTGTACATCGCTTGTAACGTGCATGTAGATACTCTTGTTTACCTGCAGGTACGACACTGTTACTCGGAGCTGTAGTGGTTAATGTGTCATGTATGGTTTGTTTATACGGCTTCAGAAATAAACTGCTCGGATTGTGCCTGATAGTGAATAGATACTTCTCGCTTTATATTTGATTCGTACACAGGTGAGCACACTTGTCTAGAACGGTGATGGAACTGCACTCTGTGGCACTTGGCAGCGTGCATACCGATATGAAATTTAGCTGGGTGTAGCTAGCGTACGCATATATAATATATATATATATATATATATATATATATATATATATATATATATATATATATATATATATATATATATATATACATATATATATATTTAATGAGGTCTAACAGTCTATAATGCTAAGGAATGTATAAGGGAAGTTATTAGAACCAATGTGAAGTAAATAAGAAGAAAGAAAAGTGGGTGAAAGAACTTGCCGTGAGCAGGAATCGAACCATCGAACCTACGACCTCCGAATAACGCGTTCGATGCTTTCAGAGGTCGCAGGTTCGATTCCTGCTCACGGCAAGTTATTTATCCGCCCACTTTTCTTATTTACTTTACACTGGTTCTAATAACGTCCCCTATACATTCCTTGGCATTATTATCTGTTAGATCTCATTAGTATTGTGTCGAAACACTAAAAAAAACGAGCCCATATATATATATATATATATATATATATATATATATATATATATATATATATATATATATATATATATGGAAAGAAGTGCATACTTAAGGGCTTTGTTTTTTTACACAATAATAATGAGATTGTGATATAAATGTGAAGAAATAAAAGTGGGTGAAAAAATAACTTGCCGTGGGCAGGAACCGAACCTGCGACCTTCGTATAACGCGATCGATGCTCTACCACTGAGCTACCGTGGCGGCTATCCTCCTAACCACATTATTAGGTATATAAGGGAATTTAAACGGTGGAGTGTCAGTCAGTATCATCTGCAGCCATGGCGGCTACACGGAAAAACGAGCCCTTAAGTATACACTTTTTTCCCTTATTCATTAACGAGGGTCTCGTACTGGCAGAGTTGGTACCTTAGGTTGTATACAAGTGACTATTGTTCAGCGACCAGCTCGTAATTAGTTCACGTGCTACGTGCGTGACGCCACACAGGTTCATAAAGAGAGTATCACACTCATATATATATATATATATATATATATATATATATATATATATATATATATATATATATATATATATATATATATATATATTAGTCTGAAACAATTAAACCAGGTGTAATATGCAAATGTCAGTGCAGTCATGGAGAGCGGCGCCATTCTGCATTCTAGAGAAGGCAAGTGAGATGACTTCTGTATACACCTGAAAATTCAGGCAGCTTCGTACTATTGCGGTGCCCAGCCTGATGGCAGTGCGGAGCTGGGCAGCCTTCTTTGTTTGTCTTCGGTTTTTCTCTCTCTTTCCTCCTCCTCTCGTTGTTCACTTTTCCAGTGTTCTTTTTTCTTCCTGTTTTCTAGTTTATTTCTGCTTACTGTTAGTTTTGTTGCAATTTTTTTTTTCATCTCTTTGAATTTCTCGCCTGCTTGCTTGTCCTGGCCCTTGAAATGCTTCGAACTCAATATGACATGAGTGGCTACGGAAGGAAGTCGTAGACCACGATTTTTAGAGCAGGACTATATATACTATACACGTTAATGCATTTAAAGTTGGTCTGCAGACAGTGCTCGTCGCTTTGAGCCCTGCACTGTGGTTTGTGTTCATTTGTTCGCCGCGGCGGCACTTCTATAAGAACGGAAGGAAGTCGGCGCAGCGCGGAGTGTCCGTTTCTCTCTTCCGGGTCTTTGTTTCCGGTCCGCGAGCGACGGCTCGTTACGCGTATGATGCATATATATACGTGCGCGCTTGCACGCGATGAGCACTGCCCAGCGTAGCTGTCCGCCTCTGACGTTCTTGCTAGCTAGGCCCGCTCGTTTCGGGCTGGGATCGCCTTTGTTTTCTTCTCGCTATAAATATAACGAGTGAACCGCTGCTGCCGCTGCGTGACCCCATTTGTTACCTACCTTAATTCTTTAATGTGTCGACCTGTGACCGCAGGTGTGACCGGAACACGCAAATAGCTCGCCTAATAATAATAATAAAGAAAAGACGGCTATGAAAAGAAACGTGGCACGTATTTGCAAAGAGGAAATATTGATCGTTGATGTTCTCAAGTGCACTAGCTCGCTTTCTTGATAATAACAGTTGTTAAGGTTTAACGTCCCAAAACCACCGTGTCATTATGAGACACATCGTAGTGGAGAGCTCCGGAAACTTCGACCACCTGGGGTTCTTTAATGTGCACCTAAACCTAAGGACATGGACATCAAGCATTTGCGCCTCCATTGAAAATGCGGCCGCGTGGTCGGGATTCGATCCCGCGACCTGCGGGTCAGCAGCCGAGTGCCTTCCACTATAGACCACCGTGGCGGGTAACTCGCTTTAGTGCTTCCGATTTCGATATCAAGCGCTAGTAAAAAGAGTTTTTTTTTTGTAATTAAGGCAATTCTCCTGTGTGAGGACGATCGATGACATTATACATTAAATATATTAAATAGCTTTAAATGTATTTATGCAAAAGAGACCTCACAGACTCAGTCTAAGCGGGTTGAATTTTCCCAACTCCGCACAAAGACGTCAAAGGATGCAAAGCAGTGGCCCTATATGCCAACTACAAACAAAAACTTGGCCCAATCCGCTTCATCTCAAACGGATATTCCCGGATCTGCAAACGTACTCCACGCAAACGGGGAACAGCTAGACGACATATGCTGTAGATTAACGTCAAGCCCAATCTACAGAAACCAGTCAAATCCTGGGGCCGTCTCGTGGAGGGTAACCGCTGCGCTGCGCAGCCCGGCGACCAAATCTGGGCCGCCCAACTTGCCCGCGAGGTGGCGTTGAGGCAAGATCTCTGACGTCTCGTCGCGTGAGACCTGATCCTGGGTTTCTCAAACGTGCAGGACCTCACAATAAAGTTAGTTTCATCCGTTCATACATCAATCTACTATCGGTCGCGTTCATACTAAAAATGTGGATCATGTGTATGTCTGAATGACCGTTTTCATTCTCTTTCTGTTTTATCGCGTGTCGAATATATGTAGGTGGGTGTCGTACTCGCGTGAATGAATATCCAATTTATTGTCGATGCTTGTGTGATTATTGCGTGCCATATCGAAGAAGTTATAAATCCGTACCAACTCGTCCAGTTGTCAGTTTCGCGTGACTTCCTTATCTAATTTAGTGCACTGTACTGACAAACCCAAGCGCTAAGAACGTATCTCAACGAGCCCCCTTTCCTTTTTTGCGTGCGCAGTCGTCGTCTTCCGACGTCGTCGGGCCCTGCTGCAGCATGAGCGGCAGCGGTGGCGACGCGGCCCCCAACGCCGGGGGCGCCCCCCCACCTTCGCTGCCGGCGGCCGCCATGACGTCCTCGACCAGCTCCAACGCTGGAGGCGGCTCCTTGCGACCCCCGAGCAAGCTTCGACGTCCCACCACTCTGACAAGCACGGCGACAACGGCGGCGACCACGACGACCAACGCCACGGGTCCGTCGCCCATGAGCAGCGGTGGGTCGGGCGCCAGGACCCCGCTGTCGGCGGCCTCTTCCATGTCCGCCCTCAACGATAAGTCCGGTGAGGAGAAGGTATATTGCTTTTATCGCGATGCCAAGTGCAGTATAGTTGTTCTTACCTGTGTGCGTTACGACTGTAACTACTATACCACGCGCACAACCACTGGAAACGGGTTTTGAGGACTCTCGAAGAATGAGACAATAGGATTGGGGTGTGTTGGTATAACATGATGAAGAGTGCTTACCAGCGCAAACGACAGGACACAAGAGGGGACAGGAGCAGAGACGAGCGCTCTGTCTCGTATTTTCTCCTGTCCCCTCCTGCCCTGCCGTTTGCGCTGGTAAGCACTCTTCGAAGAATGCCTTTTGCGATCGAAAATTCGACCCATGTATAGGAGATGGAAAATGCTACCGCTATTCAACGTGGTTCGAGGCAACGATTAAAAAAATAGACAGGAAAAACTTATAATCCTATCAGTAGCGGTAAGGGACATTAAAGTGGGGATTTTTCGTAGTTTTCTTTCTAGTTAGCTTCAAGTGTGAGGATCTTTCAGAGACTCTCTTCTTGAATAGGTTCGCCGTGGTGGAGAAGTGGCTATGCTGTTCGGTTGCTGAGCCGAAATTGCAATCCAGACCGCGGCGAAATTTCGATGGAAGCGAAAAGCGAGAGGCCCCTATATACTATATGCGACGTCAGTGCGCGTTAAAGAACACCGGATAGTCGAAAATTTCTGAAACCCTCCTCGACAGAGTCTCTCGTAGTCGTATCGTGGTTTTGGAACGCAAAACCTCAGGTATATTATTAGTGGTTGGCGTAAGGCTTTCTTCCCTACTTTGTAATCCATAAACAAAACGTATCAGTGCACGTTGTGCCTCTTGTTTGAATCAAAGCATGCACTGTGCATCAACAATTTATTGCTCCAGACTTCCGTATAGACTTTGCGTTCCGTGGGGCCCTTCCTTTTCTCACCCTGAAAACGTTTATTGACATTCGGGTTCAAGCCGCGTTATTTGTGCCCGGAAACTTACCTTGCTGAAATACAGCCTCAAAGTTTAAATTTTACACGCGCCGCGTCAACGTAGCCGCGTGCAGCTTTTGGAGCGCATAGTTGTCGGTTCGCCTTGTGACAACAGGTCGAGCGGCGTGGTTGTTCTATTCGAGAACCGCGAGTCAAGTGCCAGTTATCCATATGCGAGGTTAAGGAAGTGTCACTCAACTTTTCAACCGGGCAAACGATGAGTCACGCTTTCGAGTCGCGACTGTCTGCGCAAGATGCTCCACGACATGTACCGCTTATCTGGTGCACGCTATTTAAGCTCGTGAATTTCAAATTGTACCAGAGCTCTTCTGTGCTTGAAGCACTTTAATTGCACCCTTCACCCGGAACAGCATGCGCATGTCCAATTCCCCTCCCCCGGTCGTCTTTTCTCCCCGAAAGAAAAAATAACAAATAAGGACTACTCTACGTAGAGCTAGTAGGTGTCGATGACCTCTTTAACGCCCTGTTTAACGCGCTGATAAAGAGCGAGGCTTTCGACTGGCTCGCGGTCATTGACCGTCGTCTGCGCCGCTCTAAAATTGAATGTGCCCGTGTCGCACTCGCTCATCTTACTTGTGACGCTTGTTTGTCGTGTTTTTATCACTACGCCATTGTTTAGGTAGCCTCTAATGCTAATAGCGAACCAAGTTCGTCTTGGGGAATAGCTACGCCCGAAGAATTATTGATTGTACTAAGTTCACTCGGTGTTCTTCAGCCGCCGTGGTGTACATTGGTTCTGGGCTGCCGACCCAAAAGATGTGGCTACGCCGCCGGCCGCGCTCGTCGCATTCTCGATGGTGGCGAAAATTCTCGAGGCCTCCTGTGCTGCGAGATGTCAGTGCGCCTTTAAAGAAACACCACATAATCAAAATTTCCGCAGCCTTCCACGACGGCGTTCCTCACAATCATATTGCGGTTTTGGCGCATAAAAACCCCAGAAATTATTACTATTACTCGGTGATCTTTCTCAATAAGCGTAACAAATGGCTGTTCACTCATCTTCGCTGTAGTTGTAGCCTACTTTTCCTTGACGTGAGTTAAACGGCCGGCTGGCTCGACGTGCTGAAAGACGTTTGACCGCATGCCCGCGGCACTTTTAGATGCGGAGCATCTTATACTCGCGCCTTGTAGTGCGCCGTCCGCGCCGTCCGCGCCGTCCACACCGCTTCTCGAACATTCGACAGCTGACGCGCGCGCATGCGCCGTCGCGCCGTCGCCCACTCTTCCACCATCTGTGCATCCCTTCCTCCTCTACACACCGCGCGCGCTTCACTCCTCCACCATCTGTGCACCCTTCCTCCTCTACACACCGCGTGCAGAGCATTCTACAATTCTCCTGATTCTCCAGTGGACGCGCATGTGGCGTCGCGCTTCGAGAACATTCAACAGCTGACAGTGCATGCGCCGTCGCGCTGTATATATACTCAAGGTCGGCGCTCGCTCGCTCAGTTGCCGCTCGTCGGTTGGTTTGTACGGCGCGTCGACGTCCAAGGTCGCGGTGAAATGAATTCCAACGAATCCACAAACACAATGATCGACGTCCCTTCGACCAGCGCCGCCCTTTCGCATGCGTGTGTACGTGTTCACTCATTTAACACCCCCTCCTACAACCACGTTAACCAATTTAGCCATCGACCCAAGTAAGTCGCAATTTAACACCCCATTTCACAACCACGTTAACCAATTTAGCCATCGACCCAAGTAAGTCGCACTTTAACACCCCGTTAACCAATTATATGCTCCGCATCCTCCTCAGTGTTCACCCGAGGGAAGCTGCGGGCAATTTTTTTTTCGTCTTTGTACGCTCTGTCGTTATTGCGCTGCTGCCTTAATGCGATGCATCCATAGCGAAACAGTTTAATGCTACGATAAGTTTTACTGGGAAGTCACACTATATGCACCACTGAAGGATCGCTTAAAGCTATGGTAATAGCAGATACTACGCTTTGGTGCCAAAATAGTGAAACCTTACGATAATAAAAATAAATAAACAAAAAATTAACGTCTTCCCAAAGGGAACCCTGATGGGATGCGAAGTAGCAGCGTGGCACACAGACGCGATCGGCGTTTTTGACTCGCGCCTTGTCGGTGTCGTTTGTCTTCCGCTGCCGACGCTTGCGTTCGGCTTTCCATGGCTTGCGCCTCGTTGGTGTTGCAGGCGCGGCGTCACCGTTTGCGAACGCGATCGGCTCTGCTAACGCTGGCAACGCCGACGATGGCCGGCCGGGTTAGGCCAAATCGCTTCGGCGCACGTTGCGGCGGCCGAAGGAGCTTCGCTTTCCGGCGTCCTCTCCGTCGCTGACAATCGAGCCGAAAGATTATTCACTCGATGCGCGCTCGGACGTTGCGAGTGGTGGAGAAGGTGAAGCGAGAGAGAGTTAACATGCGGTGAGTGCGTGGCAGGCGAGGGAGAGTGGCGTCACTGCGCACTGCGATGCGAAGGCGTGACCTACTTGGCACCGCCTCAATACCTGCGGACGAGGGGAGCGCGGTACGGCGCGTTGGCACGGAAACATGGACGGACAGCGTTACAGAGGCTAGTCAGAGCTGCTTCGAATCTGAAAGTAAAATGCAGCAAGACTAAATGGGTGAAGTCACCTTAATACTTCCTCACCGCCCCGACGTGACGTCATTATGACGTCACGAGACTTGTTTATTTATTAGCTGTTAGCGAACAGTATATCTTGATATGTGGGGTTTAACGTCCCAAAACCAGCATATGATTATGAGAGACGCCGTAGTGGAGGGCTCCGGAAGTTTGACCACCTGGGGTTCTTTAACGTGCGCCCAAATCTGAGCACACGGGCCTACATTTCCTCCTCCATCGGAAATGCAGCCGCCGCAGCCGGGATTTGATCCCGCGACCCGCGGGTCAACAGCCGAGTACCTTAGCCACTAGACCACCGCGGTGGGGCAGCGAACATATATCTTGCCGATATAAGACGAAAAGGGAGATTATCAAGTTCCGAAGCCGTTTACCGGTCCAAAGCAGTCAACTAATTACGAGAAATAGCCACCCTAATTTTATCTACACCCATTCATGATTTCTCATTAGTTCATTACTTTTTTGCCACTTACGAAAGTTTCCACCTGCTAAATGTCTGCATTAAATAATAATAATAATAATAATAATTAATAATGAGTGAACGGAAATTACTCAATAAAATGATGGCTGATTTTTCTCTGCAAAACTTTCCCAGTACTGTTTTTAGATTACGCTGTTAACAGAGCATGACACACCACATTTAAGCGAAGCTATGATGCCATTATCTCTAGGCTTCACACAATCAACTTACGTGGTTTTCAAATGTTATTTAAAGTTCTAGTATAAGGTTAATGAGATCGTTCCTAATTTTTCCCACTAGGCATTTTTTTGTTTCTGCCAAATTTTATGGCAGTTTTTTTTTAGATGCGGAAGCATCTTATACTTGCGCCTTGTAGTGCGCCGTCCGCACCGCTTCTCGAACATTCGACAGCTGACGCGCGCGCATGCGCCGTCGCGCCGTCGCCCACCATCTGTGCCGCGCGCGCTTCTCCTTCGAGAACATTCGACAGCTGACAGCGCATGCGCCGTCGCGCCATCGCCATCTGTGCCGCGCGCGCGCTTCTCCTTCGAGAACATTCGACAGCTGACAGCGCATGCGCCGTCGCGCTGTATATATACTCAAGGTCGGCGCTCGCTCGCTCAGTTGCCGCTCGTCGGTTGGTTTGTACGGCGCGTCGACGTCCAAGGTCGCGGTGAAATGAATTCCAACGAATCCACAAACACAATGATCGACGTCCCTTCGACCAGCGCCGCCCTTTCGCATACGTGTGTACGTGTTCACTCATTTAACACCCCCTCCTAACACCACGTTAACCAATTTAGCCATCGACCCAAGTAAGTCGCAATTTAACACCCCATTTCACAACCACGTTAACCAATTTAGCCATCGACCCAAGTAAGTCGCACTTTAACACCCCGTTAACCAATGATATGCTCTGCATCCTCCTCAGTGTTCCCCCGAGGGAAGCTGCGGGC